TTTTTTGTCAATAATAACATATTAGTTCCCTACCTTTCATTGCCCTTGTCCAAGGACAAAAATGTCAATTCACAATTAATTCAATGGGGAAAGATGTGGAAATGGGTTCACTACTCACTACTCACAAGCTAAAGAAAATAATAAAAAATAATTAATATAATCAATATCTAACAGTTAGACAATATACTTTTTCGCCGGTATTTTTTTTTCAAATTTAAATATTATACTATAAACAACAATACAGAAAAAAAAAATATAATGTTTCATAACATAAGTTTAATTTTTGTTAAAAATGTAATAAAAATGTAATACAAATCTAATTTTTATTAAAAATGTAATAAAAATGTAACACGAGTCGACCGTATAACGATTAGAACGTCTCATATAAGAATTTGTGTAAAATAAATATATAAAATTCAGAGGGCAAAAATGTGCAAACAAAACAAGTCAACCCGTGACCATCGATCACTTGGACTTGTGGATTCTTTGCAAATTCACTGTCGGTGACCATACAAACTCAAATACAAATTAAAAAAAAAAATGGTTATTTATTTACTTACAGTATTTATAAAAATAAAAAATAAAATAAAATAAAATAAAATAAACCCAAGACCATAGAAAATAAAAAAAGTATTTAAAAATCTCCCCCACCCAAAAAAAGCTCTCTCCTCCATGGGGAGCAACTTCAACACAAGCACCTCTCAATATTTTATATAGTAATGCACATTTTTCATCAACCTGAAAAAAAAAAATAAAAAAAAAATATTTAAGCATTAAAAAATGATTTTAAAAATAAACATTAATACATTAATTACAATTATATATAAAAAAAAAATTGAAATTTTGAGAAATGAATTACAATTATTCTCACCCTTTTTGCTTCCCTCCTTCCTTTCTTTTTGTCATTTTTTTTCATCATTTTTTTTTTTCCACTTTTTATGAGTATAAAATTTAGTGGCAGCTTGAAAAATGAGAATCTTGTCCAACAGCCCCAAGCATATTACATGCAATTTCCAATAATTTTCCTGCACAATATATATATATATGACATTGAATGGCATAAGTATATGTTTTTTGTAATAAATGTATAATTTATCGACCCGACTAACGATTAGCCCGATTCAAACTAGGGCATTTGTGTTTGATGCTTTGTTGTGGCACATAGACTAAGACAAGTGATCAATAATGAGACTTTGAGGAGGTACAGAAAATAAAATAAAATAAAATAAAATAATGTGGTTAATGCATATGAAATTATGAATATATACAGCCTGGTGCTTTGTAAGGACAGTCAATTATTTGTGACAATTTGCAAAATCACAGCTGGGCTGATGGGACCCATCACGGCCCCATTTAGGTCAGTTTTTACCAGCACTTACATTAGCTGGCTGAAGGTTCTTTGACATCTTTTGTGTTCCTCACACCATAGGATAATAACTCATCTCCTTTTTTTGTTTTGTTTTCTTTTTTCTCAATTGAATTATATTAATAAATAATTATTAACACCTATAATTAGAACCACACAAAAACCCAAGCATTAGCTTTTGTTTGAGAACATTTTAGTTAAAAAGTGAAACTTGATTTTAACAGCCCACCAAACTTTTTACTTTCATATGAGCTCTCTCATTAACAAGGTTTTAGAGAAATTCTACAGTCTCTCTTTACGGAACCGTTAAATCATCATGTAACCATCGGGCATAGTTGATCTAACGATTACAAATCTCGATGAAATTGTTCCGTAATGTGACCGTAGCATCTTGCCAAGGTTTACTATTAGTCTAACAATAATTATGACATTTTACCCTACAATTATGCAATTTTACTACATACCTCTTCTAGGCTTAGACACAACGCGCCCTCCGTCCGCCGACCTCGCCGCCGCCGCCGGCTTCGTTTCCTCCGGCGGCCTCAATACCCCGTCGATCCCCTGCACTGATATCCTCCCGTCTGTATAAATATCCGCATCGAACAAATACGCCGATGACGACCCGCCGGCGTCACCCGACCCGAACCTGACCGACCCGTCTGCCTCCTCCGCCACCACCTTGTGCGGCAGCCGCAGAGTGTCGTACCTCACCTTTCCAAACCTCCTAACCGCGTTGTACATGCTCTCCTCCGTCTGGTACTCCGGTATCATGTGGTAGTATATCAACCTCTCCGCCGCCCCCGCCTCCGCCACCTCCTCCGCCGCCACCTTCGCCATAGCCTCGTCGTTCGGTGCCAGCACCGTCACCACGTAACCTTCGGATACCAGCCGACCCATCTCCGCCGCCACCGACGTCAGGTTCGCCAGCATGTCCGCCACCTCGCCGTACCCGCCGTACCGGAGGAGGGTCGCGATGAAGTCCCTCACCTGACTCTCGCCGTCGAAGTGCCCGCGGGGACCTCCGGGCCCCGGAGCCGGCGCCGGCGCCAGGGAGGGGCCCGGGGCCATGGCGTCGTAGATGGGGAGAGCGGGAGGGGAGCCGGCCGGCGCAGGAGGTGCCGGCTGGCGAAGGCGGTGTGTGCGCGGGTCTACCTCCGGCGCGGACGAAGGGAGGACGGCGGCGACGGCGCGGAGGCTACGACGGCCGTTGAAGGCCTGCTGGACGGATTTCGGGACTAGGAGTCTGTCGACTCCGTGGATGACGCCGTCCGGCCGGAGGACGTCGTCGGAGCGGACGACTCGGGCCGACCCGGCGGACAACTCGCCGGACTTTGATATCTGGAGGGGGACGCGCTCGCCGGCGGCGTCGCGGCAGAGGGTAGGGTGATGGGCGGGCTCGGCCCGCCAGAGCCCGGACTCGATTCGGGTCGGGATCATGTGGAAAAGCAGGAGATTTTGGAGGGATTTGAGGTTTCGGGGCTCCATCAAGAACCGTTTGAAATCCGGGTCCAGATTCCGGTCGAGGGCTTCGTTTTTCGGGGCTAAAATGGTAATATTGTGCCTCGAGACAGCGTCTTCTAGCGTTTGGAGCAAAAGGGCCTTCTCCACGAGCTCCGATAGCTCGGTGTAGTGGGAGTCGAGGAGGGCGACGAGGACGGAGTTGGAGTTGACGAGGGGGCCGCCGGAGTTTGGGGTTCTGGTTGCCGGAGATTTTTCCGTCAATGCAGCGGCGGCGAGGGGGATAAGGAGGAAGAGAAGGGCGGAGATCTGAAGGATGGCCATGGCGGTGGGGATGGTTGAAGTTTTCTCTCTCTATAAGAGATATTTTTTTTTTATTTTTTTTTTGGGTGGGTGTTTAAGTTGGGTTATCTCTCTTTGAAGTGATGGAAAATGTGAACTTTGCTTGTGTGTGTGTGTGTGTGTGTGTGTGTGTGTGCTTGTTGGTTTGTAGGAAATGGTGTTTTTATGTTGTTTGGTGAATGATTAAAGTATATTGGGTGAATTATTGAATAGTTGGGTAGTTGAGGGGTCAATGTGTGTGTATATTTTGTGCTTGTCTATGAAATCTGAATATTTTACTGCAGTTTGTTGTTATTTGTTACTTTAAAGTTGAGATTGGTCGAGTGTGACAAAGGGTTGTGGATTTTTGGGTTTTGGGTTAAAAAAGTCAATTCTTGTGTACTAGAATGTAATAAAGTATTTGTTTGTGGCCGAGTTCAATGTAACAAGATATAACTAAGATTTTGTTACGGAATCATTTCGTCGGAATTCATAGCATTTGAATCAGCTATTTTCGATAATTACATAATAATTTAACGATTATAAATCCTAAAATGATTCCGTAATAAAACGGTAGCATTTTCCAGCGTAACTCGGCTAGAGTGACTCACGAAAATCAATGTAGGGAGCCGATTCATTTGGTGTAAATCAAACCAAATAGTTGAAGCACATGTAATAATTATTTATTGTAATAAAGTTAGTACTACAGTACAAGATTATATAACAATTAATTGTAATTATGTTTATAAAAGAGAGGGAATGAAGGAGTTGAGAGGGAAAATCTTACTAATAAACACCTAAAAATAAACAACAAATGTTATTAATTAATTAAAAATGACTAAGAACAAGAGCTTTTGTTGTCGTCAAAAAGTGACAGGCTGGAAGTGGGGACCACGCGGGAGTGTACAGCTGGGGAAAGCGCGAGTGTAGCGGTGGCGCCGCAGCTGATCATTTGCCCGCGCTATAACGAAAGCCCCCGCTTGCCGCTTTTTTTTTTTTTTTTCAATTTCTAAATATGAATAAATACTACATAAAAATTAACAATTAAATTAACGGGGTATAAAATAATAACGTTAATAACAAATGAAAATGAATAAATACAAGATAAAAAATTAATAATTATATTAACGGGGTATTATCGTAAAATTATAATTCTTATAAACATAAGATTTCGATTTTGCACAAATACCGAATGCGAAATTATAATATAGAAGTGATTCATACTCTGTGTCAAACTTTTGATTTGATTCATAAATATGTATTTATAATAAGATTTATGTTATTTTAATTTTATTAGTATATATTGTTTATTTCGTTACGTATTTTAAATACATATTTTTTTGTTAGGATAATTGTAGGTCTAGAATCTTAATGACTTTCAAATTATATTTGAGATTTGATTGTCATCTATCTATTAATATATAATAAGGATTAACATAATTCACGTTTAGTAATATTTTCCCACCAAATTCATTAATTATAGCCTAAAAATAGTAACTTAACAAATTTTCATTAGTCATTGTCTAATTATATTAGATATGTTTTTTGGATTTTTGTTTCCTTTTATGATATGGAATGAAAATCCAAAACAATATCCTCCTTTTGTAGGTCCATATCAATATGGAACTTAGAATCTCTTGCCTTACAATATTCAGTTAGAAAATATATTATTCATTTAATACTTTGATATCTTTATATAAATGAAACAAAGTTATTATTTAAATCAGTTGATTATCACACAATATTCTACGCATATTTAATACTTCGGTTTGTGTGTGTTTTAGTAAATTATTGGTTTCTTTAATTACGTTGATAGTGGTTTTGTAGGAAAAGATTATGTAAGTAATTATATGTAGCCGATTTTGGAACTCTTATTTATCAAGGATTTTTTTTTTTATTTTAACAGATTTATCAGAATCATTGATTTGGATTAGCATATATGTTACATACACACAAAAAAAATTAATTTTATAGCAATATTTAAATTTACATGACGTCAATTTTGGAATTCTCATTTGTGAGGTTTCTTTTTTATTTTATCATATTTATTAGAACCAACAATTACAAAATATAAATTTATTAGCATATATGTTACATACACACAAAAAAAAAATAATTTTATAGTAATATTTAAATTTACATGGCGTCAATTTTGGAATTCTTATTTGTGATGATTCTTTTTTATTTTATCATATTTATTAGAACCAACAATTACAAAATATAAATTTATGTTCATATCTAACTATATTTATATTAATATTTAAATATATTTTTCATTGTAGCAGATTTTGAGAATGAACGATTTTATATGAGATATACAAATCTTTTTTTTTTTAGATATACACCAATTCCCTTTATTGGTATTCTTTTTGTCAATTGTTTTTAAAAAGAAATTTTTTTAAATTTTGTATAGTAAATCGATTTTTTGTTTTTGTATACACAAAATATAAATTTACTACCTAAAAAGTTGTCACACATATAATAGGAAAGTTGTCCAATTAAAAATTGTTCAGTTTGAAAATATATAACAAGTTGTCAAACATTCAATTAAAAATTGTTCGGCTTGAAAAAATTACCCTGAAGTAATGTCTAATCACTAATGTTTTATATTTTATATTTACTATATATAATCTCTCTCATAAAATTAGTGTGATGTAGTATTTAATATTTTGTATTATTCATACATATTTTTGTAGATATACACCAATTCATTTGTTCAATTGTTGTATAAATTATCCTATTATAAATTGATCCATCTTAGATTTCCATTTAAGTTCCAGAGGCACCAATTCCTTCTGATTTTGGGGTTCCGTTTAACAGTTATAGTCAGTCTTTTTGTATAAAAAATATAGAAATATTAGTGAATATTATATAGCTAATCAAGTATAATCGATATTAAACTAACAGCTCATTGTCTGACTGCCTAATTAAATAATCATATTATAAAAAGATTCATCTTAGGATTTCATTTAAATAGTAGAGGCGCACTGGTTACTTCAAATCTTAGGGTTTCAATTAAGACCATGGTCAATCTTTATGTGCGTTGGCATATTATTAAAAAAATCGGTTCTTAGCAACGACCGATTATATGTTGTTGTTTTTACGTGTAAATAATAGATACGAGATATACATTGACATGTTCTTAAAAAAATCTTTTTTTTTTTTATCACGACCAATTGTATGATGTTACGCGTGTAAGTAATAGGTCAAGAAGAATCAAAGTCAACATTTATTGTACGTTGACATGTTAAGTAATAGGTCAAGAAGAATCAAAGTCAACATTTATTGTACGTTGGCATGTTAATTAATAGGTCAAGAAGAATCAAAGTCAACATTTATTGTACGTTGGCATGTTAAGTAATAGATCAAGAAGAGTCAAGGTCAACATTTATTATACGTTGGCATATTTTTAAAGAAATCGATTTTTAGTCACGGACAATTATGTTGAAAATATTAGTTTGTGGGGACGACGAGTTGCTCAGTTATTGAACAAATAATGTTGTGTACAAGAAAATTTAAATAATATATTTTTTTACATGAGGAACATTTTATGATTTGATAATTTTCTTATGAATTTTCACTCTTTTATTAATATTTTAATTTTTAATATTCTCTAAATTAAATACAACCCGTGCGATATACAGCCCGTGCATCGCACGGGTTACGTACTAGTTTAAGTCATGTAAGAATGAATTAAGATATGGAATTTGACGATATGAAGTTGGAAAATTTTGTCATTACCCATAATAACATGATCTTATCGAGTTTTTTTATCATTGAATCAACGTACACGATTATGTTACACAAACTAATAAATAATTGAAATAATGGAGAACTAATTTCAAATTTCGTAAGTAATTAAATAAACAACTATATGTCAACATCAAATTAATGAATTTCAATTTCAAAATATTAAAAAGGATGAGAAAAGCACCCGCCACCGCTTACGGTTGTTGGTGGTGTTCTAATTAATTTTCTACTTTTAGTTATTGTAGAGATACATTATTATTATTATTTTATTTCTTAGATATTATGTCAATATTCGAACAAATTTTAATGAATAAAATATAACATTTCACCTCATACTCCACGTCTAAAATGAAGCCCACACACACATACAGAAGTAACCAATAAATATTCATAGACTAATTATCAAATTTGTAAATTTAATTCAGTTGAAAAATCATTTAGCGGCATCAGGCCCTGGTGGCTTGCAACGTTTAGAATTTCCACCGCCAGAATTGAAACCATGGCTCGAACATAATGTTATGGGGGTGGCCTATCATCGTAGGATTATGTCTTGAGTCCTCCCTTCTTCTAATACCAAAAAAAAAAAAAAAAAAAATCATTTATAAGATAATATTTTATCCCTATTAGTGGGGAAGGGTTGAAATAAAAACATGCTATAAGATTAAATATTATATATGTCATTCTTAATTATGTATTATGTTAGTTTTAACATTATATGTGAAGTGTGTTGATCGAACGGCTCAAAAAAAAGTGAAATTCACCAATTACACATGTTCTATTTTATGAAAAATAGTGATACTTTCGCTGATTAAAAAAAAAAAAAAGAATAGCGATACTTTTAAAAATAATTTACAATTAAAAAATGACATCATATACAATTAAAAACATCATAACATCATATTCGATTCATGTTCTTCTTACATTACAGTTTGATCTTGAACCAAACAATATAGTAAACCTATATTTAAGGCATTTGGCCTATATAATGCATGCAGACCAGTCATCCGATGACTTCATAGCAAAACCGTTATAGTTAAAGAAATTTCTCATCGGATGACTCCCTTATGGAATCATCCATAAATTTATGTACTGACACATGTCCAATGTGCATTTATTGCAGAACACGTGTCAATACACCATTTTTGAAAAACTATAGATGACTCCATAAGCCGAGTCATCTGATGGCTCCATAGCAAAACCGAGTTATAATTATGGGGATACCATAACTTTTAATTTTAGTATTTTGGAAATTTTTTTAATGATTGATTAATGGTTCCAAATGAATAATATAAGTGGTTGCTTGATGATAGAAATTTTAGATGCGACAATCAAATGAATAATGACCTAATAAGTGTAAATTTAATATGAGATATGCACTTTCAACGTGAATCAATTTTTTGTCCCGTGCCAAAGAAGTGTCGGCTGCCTAATATTTGATCATTAAAAAAAAAAAAAAAAAGCTCAAAATCAGTTTTTAGCTTAAAATTATTGCAAAAATAATATGAACTTTTATTGTATTCTTTAAAAAGTATCTAATATCAAGCGACTATGCTTCTGAGCAAGTGCCTTTGACTGTCGGTGCCAAGCAAAAAATAATGTACATTTATGAAATTTATATTTTGGCCCATCAAAATATCCACACTGCATTCTAGTGGCCCTTTATTTTCCCAATATCACGATCATGACATGATTAGAGCTGTTTAAACGGACCCATCGAATAGCTCGTGGGCTCAGTTCGACATGGGTCGAGTTCGCTTCAGCTTGTTTGTCAATTCGTTTAGTTAATAAGTCGTGCTCGACTCGTCTAAGAAATATGAGTTTTTATATTATTCCACTACAAAATAAATGTTATATTTCAACGGAAAATTCTATGGTAATATATTCCAATGGAAATTCCAACAGATATTCCAATGGAATAGCTTCCGTTGGAATGTGTTTTTCATTGGAATTTTAGATGGAATTTGATGATTCCAACGGCTATAATTCCAACGCTTTTTTACCGTAGGAATTTCCGTTGGAATATGCAAATTCCGTTGGAATTTTTTTTTCCACCCCCGTTGGAAAATCTACCGTTAGAATCGTCAAAATCCAATGAAAATTCCAATGGAAAACCAATTCCAACGGAATATTTTCGTTGGAATTTCCGTTGAAATCCATTGAAAAATTCCAACGGAAATAATAGTATTGAAATATCCGTTGGAATTGCCTTTGGAATAATTATTTGAAACATATTTCCACTGGAATTTCATCATTTTTTTGTAGTGTTCTAAAACCATTAAATTAGCTCAACTCGATAATTTTGATAGGCAAGTTGAGCTTGAGCTTGTTTAGGTCGATTAGTTAATGAGTCGATTACAGTATAGGCTCAAACTCGAACTCGAGTATAAAGAACTCGAGTTTGGCTCGTTTTCGTCTATCTCGTTTACAACCCTTGACAAGAGTGAAGCTCAAGTCTATTTATTATAGTCTCGAGCACTTGATGATCTGCTCGAAATTTATGTTGTGTAAGAACCTACCCATTGATAAGTCTAGCCCACTTATAACTCAAGACCAAATAACTTGGGCTTTTCTTCATTGCACTCTGAGTTTAACATCTAATCTTGGCCATTCAACTAAATTTCTTGTGTTCTCGAAAAAACTCAACTAGAAATTTCTTTGTCAATTATGGGATACACCTGCACAATTTCAACAAGGTTGTACAGGTTCCCCGTACTAAATTTTGTTGATCGATCTATAGGAAATTATCAGGACAATGAACCGGACCAATTTTCGAGCCTTGTAAAGTAATTTCGAGCTTTGTCGAGTCAATCTCGAGCTTTTTTTTTTTTTTTTTGAGTCGAGCTTGAGCAAAATACATGTTAGCCCATCAAGCACGAACTCGAGCAGCAAGAAATTATTTCAATCTCAGCTCGATAAACCAAATTTTCGACTCAGGCTCGATTAGTTTGCAATCCTAGTTACAACTTCTGGAAAGACCACATTATGTGTAAACTCATGGCTATTGATGACAAGAAATTGATACATCTACACATTAACTATTGGTCTAGTAATTGCATAAAAAACAATACAAAAGTAGAACAAAATCTCAAGTTAGTGTTCATAATCTAATATATAGTGTAGACTATATGAAGTTGGAAAACACTTTAGAGCAAACTACGGTCAGAATCATCCCTTCGGGAGTTTTAACAGTTGGATACACATGTAGTTAGTATAAGATACATGATCTATAACGGTTAAAACACCCGACGTGATAATTCCGTCACGGGACCATAGCATTTCCCGCAGGCCACATATTAACAAGAGACAGATAAACATAAACCATATAATTCATCACTTCAATGAAAGGGACCAAAAAAAAACACACATACTGAAGAAGTTTCTGCTGAATTTGACCTCTGAAAGTATCAGTAAGGAATCAATAAGTTTCCATTTACAGTCAGACAAAAGAGATTCAATCCATAGTATATAAGTTAATAATATTAACCAGTCTTTTTTTCCCCTCTCTTTTCCCAAAGGTTCAAAAGAACAATTACAAGTATAGAGTTATCCAACCGGCAACCTCTGCTCGAACTCAAATTACTCATGAACTCCCTCAATCCGCAGCATTCCATATTTGGAGGAAATAAAAAAAAAAAACATTGACCTGCGGAAATTTTGAAAGTATTCCTGGTTAATTGAATCGTATGATGATGACGATGAACAGGTTTTTAGACAAGAAGGAACTAAACAGATAAACGAATGAATGAGAAAGATGTATACATTGGGGCGAATCTAGAGATATATTTGACGAGGGGCAGAAGTTAATCGCGTATAATTTCAATAACATTAAGGAGGTATAGCATCTCGTCAATAGGGTTGTAAACAAATCAAACTTTTTCGATTCGAATTCATGATTCGTATTCGTAAAAATTCGAATTGAATAAGAATAGTTTCTATGTATTCGAAATCCGAATCTACATATGCACATATTCGATTCAGAATTATCGAATATTCAATCCGTTAATATACAAAATATAAAATTCTATTTTGATAATATATATTACATATAAATATAAAATAAGAAATATATTTATGTTTAAAAAATATATATAAAAAATCTAAATAATTTTTGAAAACAAATTTCGAATCGAATCGAATATAGAATAGAATACAAATCACAAATAAGTTCGATAACGAATCGAATACAAACAGTCGAATATCTTCACGAATCCAAATCGAATAGTCGGCATTCACCTCAATTCGATTCGTCTACAAACACTAATCATTAATATACCCGAAAAGGGGATAAAAATAGAAGTTACCTTCAAAGATGAGACGTCGAGGTCGACGGCCGTCATTTATCATAAATTTCACCACACCACACAACCTAACTCGAAACCGAATTCGCAGGTAAGGTAGATAGACCATTCCCGTTCGGCGCCACATCAACGCCAGCATCATCCATCCTCCCCCGACTGGCAGCCGAAGAACTCTGGGGGCCATTCGCACGCGCCGTCGTGTGGGCCCCACCCCCTCCGGATTCGAGCCGTTCCATCACTCGGGACACTGTGGCGCTCACCTCCCTCCGAACCTCCGAGCCGATCTCCGCCATGCTCGGGCTCCGGGAAAACAGCTTCTCCTTCAACTCCTTGGTGCTCTTCGAAATCGACTCTTTGTACCTTCCAGGAATTCACAGATCGAATTAAAAAGATTAGTATATATTTACACATAAAACAAACGGGGAAAAGAAAATAAAAAAAGAAATTTCTTTCGTTTTAGATTATTACTAACTCATACTTTGACGAGATGGAACTGAATCGAGACCTCCACGTGTCGGAAAATGAATGGAACTCCGAGGGGCCCGCGCCGTCTCGATTTGGCAAGGATGGTCGGGTCGTCGCATTGTCTCTGAAAAAAGGGGAGAATTAAATTATAAATCGATCCAAATTGCTTTCAAACGGGCCCTTAGGGCCCAAGAACTGAGGCTACCTATTATCACGTGATGACGAGCCGAAAATCCGATTCCCATGAACAAATGTATTGTTTTCGGTCATAGAGCCCGTCTCGGGAGTTTCTTCTTCTCCACCAGCACCAGTAGAATACACCACAAACTGCGAGCGGGCATGGCCCGAACGGCTCCTCGGGCCCGAACTCCGTGCAATTCGGTGGGCCCCACTCATCGCCGCCAAATGCCGCATGATCCGCTCCTCGAGTTCCGCATCGTCCATTCCAGCTGGCAACTGCATTGGAAAAATCGACGGATTTGAAAACCGGAGGAAAAAAGAAAAAGTAAAAATCTTAGAGGTATCAAGAAATAATGATAAAATGTGAGAAAAAGAAAAAGAAAAAGAAAAAGGGACATGTTGGAGCTCGAAATCCCCAAGGGTCGAATGATGGAATATTCTCGTGCTCCGTGGCGGGGGCACAGACCTGAGGCTCCTCTCACGTTCCACAGCATCAAGTAATTCTTGGCTGCAAATAGTAAGAGAAAAATGAATTCTGCGAACTGAAGCTATAACGGAACAAAATAACCGAAGAAGGAAAAAACGAACAGTAAGTAGACGAGACGAGATGAAGAATATCAATGACAAACCTTGTGGGATCTTTCAGTTTGAGAGTTTGCCAGCACATCGGGCAATTGGAGCTTCTTTGGCACCTGTTTCATACATTTAAAGACGAAATGATTCTTTTGTTTGTTTGTTTTTTTTTTTCTTCAAAAGAGCATTCGTTTCGTCATTTCCTATGTTCGCCATGCTCGTGTTCAGATCAAAGCAATCCTATTCAACAGATTTTTCCAAATTCTAAAGGAATAACATCCGCTCAATTACAAGGATTATGACTTGCACCAATTTCAATATGGCACAAAGGTTCACAATTGGTCCCAGCTGAAGAAGAAAGGGAACTAAAATAAACTGAAAGCAACAGGATTCAGATCATTACACTTTCAAAGTTTTACATATCACAGCCAGTAGAAGTTACTGAAAACAGAGGAATGAAGAGAAAACATATTATCAGAATTTCATTATGAGGTCTCTCATGAAAAATTATTTGATGGTATCCAACTATCGGTAACTTCAAAGTGGCATCTCATCATATTTATCAGACCATATCATGCCACAACCGATTTTCTGCTATTTTTCATAAATGAGCCTTGCAAACTTATCACAGCCACAAATGTAATATACAGCCTCTTTATAATCGTCAAATTAGAAAGAACACAAATTCATACCATTCGAGCATGCATTGAAGGTGGAACTCGTGCTTGCAGCTCGTCACCTACACGAAGTGATTTCACGAGATATCACTAAATGCAAGAAAAGTGGAGAGAAATACAATCTTTCTACAGAAACATGACATTCCACTCGTAAAAAACAATCTTTCCCAAAAAAATTCAGCCACATTTTCGCGAATTTCACGTACGAACACGATCATCTAATCAACACGCGGAACAGTTATAAATTCAAAACGGGGCGATTCACCGTGGAGGGATTGCTATCGGAAAAATCCTCGAGGCATATGCTGCACGAGTCATCACACGCCTCTTGAACTCCTCCTTCCACAAAAGCCGCCGCCGACGTCGGCTCTGCCTTATTGACGACCTCATCCATTTTCACAACCTAAATTTAAAACACACAACACAAAAAATCGAACAAAAAAAATAAGAACCTGGGGTATGTTTATATATATGGTTCAACACCACATTTTGCACAATTGGACAAACAAACAAACACATTAATGGACAAATTTCTCTAGGGTTCAAGAATGACCAAAATCATGTAAAATGAAGAAAATCAGACAATAAATCAAGAAAGGCGTTTATAATACACACGAAAGCAGCAGATAATTGGACAAGAAACGTACACAATTCAGATCGGACAAGAAATTAACGTTTGATTATGGGATTAAAAACCGTTACCTCCATAATAGAAAAAGGATGAATTTTTACGGGAAACAAAAAAAGGGGGTCAATAAATGCGGAAAAATTCCATCAAATTGGGCAAAGCTGAGGAATAAAGTTTTCCCCAAATGATGAAAAGCCGAAGCAGTCGTCACGTCCAAGAAAAACCTTTTGAGAGAGAGAGAGAGAGAGAGGTGAATTAATGGCAGTATGGAGATGGAGGTCACGTATTAATTAATTAATTGATTGATTGATTAGTTAATTTTTTCTATTTCGTATTACCTTTTCCTTAACACGATTGATTATAGTAAAGTCTCATGTTCGAGTTTTTGTGGATGTAAAAAAAAATTATTGAGAGACTCATCCACATCCACCACTGCCAGGTGCGACCCGGGTCAATCAATATATTAGTCAGAACATAGCTCCAAATACCGTGGTGGCTGCCTTTAAAAAAAAAAGGAACTTTGATTTTTAATAAAAAAATAAATACAGTTGATATTGAGATTCTAATTACATGCGATACGTTGCTGTGACAATTGAAAAGTCATGGCAAAACAATTAAACTAGTCTATAATAGTCCGTGATGCACGAGATGTTAATAAATAATTTATTATTAACTCTATATGTTCATCTAGGCTAAAAAAAATCGTGTTTATCCACTTTTCACCTCGTTTAGTTAGTATTGTTTTTTTTTTTTTTGCAAATTTAAGTTCTATATTGTAAGTTAATTAATATATTATCTCACTACATTATATTAATATAAATTTAATTTTATTGCACATATATAGAACTTGGATAAAAAAAAATAATAATTTTACTTATATTTGTTCACTATATAATACTTCATTATTAACTTATTTTAAAATTTATTATCATACAATGTCAGTTATTATTATTTATAAAAAATATAGGGAAAAGTCCATTTTTGGTCCTCCATGTTTAGGGGTATCCAGACTGAGTCCCTATTATTTTTTGGTGCCCAATTTTAGTCTTTAAAACAAAAAAATATAGTCTCTATTATGTTTTGGTGCCCAATTTTAGTCCTTAAAACAAAAAAATGTAGTCCCTATTATGTTTTTGTGCCCAATTTTAGTCCTTAAAACAAAAAAAATATAGTCCCTATTATGTTTTGGTGTCAAATTTTAGTCCTTAAAACAAAAAATGTAGTCCCTTTTTTGTTTTGGTGCCCAATTTTAGTCCTAAAAATAAAAAAAATGTAGTCACTATTATGTTTTGGTGCCCAATTTTAGCCCTTAAAACAAAAAAAAATGTCTCTTAACCTCAATTTATGTGAATTAACGGTCTATTTTTGTTAATAACATCAAAGTAGTTGTGTAAAATAATTTAAAACATCGCAAAGAGGTAATCAAATTTCAAAGGAACAAATTATTGACCTGATCATAAAAATCATGATACAATCATTGCATATTTATTAATTATTAAAGTGTTCTTGAACCCGAGCATAACAGATGTGGTTTGCACAACCACAGCCGAGGCACTGGCCATGGACAAAATTGTCATTTACGCAAACCACCCCTCGAACGAGTTCTTCAAGCAGTTCCCCAACTGCCGGACGTACGACGACCCAGGAGGCTTCGTCAGGGAAACGCACAATGCACTAGAAGATGAGCCGGACCCACTCACGGACGAGTGGATGGATTGTTGTGTGCAGGGTATGTAATATAAATATATAATTTATTATTTAATATTTAATAAATTAATAATTATGCAATGAATGTATCATGATTTTTATGATCAGGTCAATAATTTGTTCATTTGAAATTTGATTACATTTTTTCGATGTTTTAAATTATTTTACACAACTACTTTGATGTTATTAACAAAAATGGACCGTTAATTCACAGAAATTAAGGTTAAGGGACTACATTTTTTTTGTTTTAGGACTAAAATTGGACACCAAAACATAATAGGGACTACATTTTTTTATTTTTAGGACTAAAATTGGACACCCAAACATAAAAGGGACTACATTTTTTGTTTTAAGGACTAAAATTTAACACCAAAACATAATAGGGACTATATTTTTTTGTTTTAAGGACTAAAATTGAGCACCAAAACATAATAGAGACTACATTTTTTGTTTTAAGGACTAAAATTGGACACCAAAACATAATAGGGACTACATTTTATTGTTTTAAGGACTAAAATTGAGCACCAAAAAATAATAGGGACCAAAAGTGGACTTTTCCCAAAACTATAAGAGTAGTCTTATTTCTCTTATGTGAAATGAGTTATTCTTATATGACTCACCTTTTCGTTAAGACCCCACAAACAAAGAGGGTAGATAATCAATTTTACACCTCTTTTGATACCAA